TCTCTCTCTCTCTCTCTCTCTCTCTCTCTCTCTCTCTCTCTCTCTGTCCCTTTTGCTCATTTAACTAGGCAGAGAAGCAGCTCTCCAGCTTCCGGATGCTCTCCTGTTCGCGTGGATATCGCTTTTCATTTTTTTTCATATCTCGAACATGCAGATTCAGCGGTGAATCGGGAATTTCGAGCTATAGTAGTAGTGGGTGACGAGCATTAAGTGGTTTTGAGTGCGAATTTTTATTTGATTTATTTAAGATTGAAACTTCATTGTGTGTTCACATCCAACATTGCATTGCTATACCTTAATGGTGGACTGAACGACAAATTTTCAACTTCAGTACTTGGTACAACTAATTAGATTTTTAGGCATGTATGTATGTACACGTTAATCGAAAAGATTATGTATCTTAGAAAATAATGACGTAAATGTTACAAATGATTTACCTACGAAGCATTAATTACTTTTAGAGTCAGCTGTAAACAGTAACAAAAGGTGAAAATACTACTTAAATGCTTGAAACAGAATCTAAATTTCTAGATGTTTAGGAGCCCCTCTTAATTTGCAATCTAATACTTTTACAAAAATTTCTCCATGCATTAATGTTATCGTTAAGTACTTTAAAATATGCATCGTTCTTATCTTTCTTCTTATCTTTACTCAAAAAAAAAAAAAAGAAATAAAAAACAATTTTTTTAAAACAGTGTCACATCACAAACGGTACACTGACCACGGAACACAGTAGCAACTGAGCTAGATACGTAGAGAAATTTGGGAGTTAGCAACGCTACGACCTGCTCCCCTGATCGAGCTTGTATCTTAATTCTGTAGACCGAATCTTGCGAGTCTCTCTTCATTCGTCGGGTATACCTGTTGTGCTGTGTAAGTCAAAAAATAAACCAGACCAAAGGAGAAATTGGTGGGTGGGTGCAAAAAGGAGACAATGGATGAAGCCCTTCTAGACCTATGTGCAGCTGTCTTTCTTACTAACAGTAGTCCAATGGTAATGCCTAATTTCTTCGTTAACACAGTACTTTCATGGACGATTTGAAAATCAGAAGTTATATAGACTTAATTTTTAGTGCTATACATAGTAGCGGTAACGTCTACCACATGCGTATATAAGTTGTTTGTACTGTATTTTTCGCTTCATTTATTGTAATAGTTGTTGGACTCTTCATAAGCAAAATAAACTAAGACTCAAAAACATTGTATTAATCTTCAGAAATATTTCTAAAAAATGTACCATTATCTTAAATGAGTGCAAAAAAACTGTTCTCAACACAAAATCGCTGATAAGTGTCTTATTGGATTTCTGTCGTCAATAGAAATAGTGGAAATAAATAAGGAACGAACTTCAACTACATCTAATGTATTTATTGAAAATAATGCATAACGAGAGTGCTCCGTACAAACTTAGAGCATACAAATTTGCTGTATAAATTACTGATTGTTTGAAAATTTTTTGATAGCTTATATAACCTTGAAATTTTGAAAGTAAAATTTTTTGTTTTGTTTTCAAGCTTAAATTATTTATATTGAATTGGCAATTATTAGGCACGACTTTTGTATGGGTGTGTCTTATATTATGGTCAGAGCAAAAAGTATAACCACTAATAAATTTTAGATCTTATAAAAATACATTTGTTTAATATTGATTATTTTTATCTATATTGTCCTCATACTTTAACCATAAAAATTATTTTTAAATAGGTAAAAAATTCCTTTGTAGCATGTAACTCTTATATTTCACTTACAGACAGAGAATATTAAACACAAAACTAATTGATTTTATGCTCTTGAAATACAAAAATCAATTAAATATGATTGAAAAGTAATACATATTCATATACAACTTGTTTTCGTATAATTTTTAACTATATAAATGTTTCGAAAATTTAATTCTATTATTTGAGATTTGTCGTGCCTTTCATGCAAGAAGTTAGGTTTTCAATTACCCGCTTTTACCCCACGGGTGATTTTATTAAAGTATCGTTTGTAAACTTTCCATTCAAAACACCATTGATGAAGTCTAAATACTTTGAAACTTCGGTGTATGCTGATGGCCGAATCGTTTCATCACACGCAGCCACTCCTATACTTACGATTCCTATAACTTTTTTATTAAACACAAGAGGACTACCACTGTCACCCTGAAAAAAAATATTGTTAATTTTTTTCTGTAAAAATAAAATACAATTACATATAATGAAAATGCTCTGGTGTCACAGACTTTGTTTTCTTAAATTTTCAATTCATTATAACTTACAGTGTAAAAACGAGCCATATATGTTCGTCAAAACATAATTTTACTATTAATACTTTGTAACTAATATCTATCGAAGAATCAATTGAAATAAAAGCTCATAACGATATTTGTCTACCTAATCTAAATAACCTTTGTGCAGAAAATTTGTACAACATATCTTTTAATTAGATGTTCAAAAAAAAACAGCTCCCAAACAATTGAGTGATTGGTAAATGAAAAGTAAAATAGATCCTTAGGGGCTGTAGTAACGTATTATTTCTATCGATATAAGTCGAAATGTAAGAATGGTCATTGAAAATCGACGTGGCGATACGACAAAATTCAACTTGATATCTTAACCTAAAATTTTGTACGTATGTTTTGAAGAGGTGTCAAAAGATTACCATACAAAAATCTTCAACTGCCTATTAAATCTGAGACCGTATAAAAGTTGTTGTTATTAACTTATGGAAATTTAACTAAAGATGTCAGATTTTCTCGCACTGAATCGTTACTTAATTCGTGTTAATATTAAAAAATCATGCATATATCATAGCTTATCATACAATATTTTAAAATTAAATCTTTAGTGTCGGATAAATATTAATAGCGAGTGTTAAGAGCCGCTCTATACGTAATGAATAAAGTAACATTCTCGTTTTACGAGAGAAAGCATGTTATCTGACGATTCCATTTTTACAAACATAACATAAATCGTTTTATTATCAACCATACCGATGATATTTAAACCATTGATTAAATAAAAATAAACTTTAGTCGTTTACCGAGCAAACACTTTGGTGTGACGGTTTGGACTGTGCCATTCTTCCACATATTAAATTTCGAACTGGGAATGGATTACATTCTCTCCAGTTCAGAATGTTGACGGGTTCTTTCTTCAATTGGCCTGATGAGGTACCATTTCGTTGATTGCCAGTTATCTTCACCTTTTCATAGCCAAAGCCTGATACTACAGCAGTTTTTCCCACGAATTTTTCGTTTTTATCTGGAAGTGATGCCAAATCAATAGGTAGTTCCTTGCCAACTTTAAATCCTTTGTCCAGCTTTAAAAAAATATGTACTTATTTATAGGTTTTTTAAAAAAAATACATTTTAATTGTTCAATCCAAATTAATTTCGTATCTTTACTTTTATAAGAGCAATGTCATTCAGATAGTAACCACTTCTTCTATCCGTTTCGAAATTTTTGTGAAGATAAATTGTTTCTACGCGGCTCCTGTAAGTGTGGTCGCTCACGTTTGTCGTTCCTGCGACAACAAAGTACGGCCTGTTCGTAAAAACCATAGTCTCTTCGTCGCAAAAACAATGAGCTGCAGTCAAAATAATATCAGGTGCAAGAAAAGCGCCACCACACCAGTGCTCTATTGGTATTTGTATGGAAGCTTGAAATTTGATTTCTTTTTTTTTTACATACTGACCGCCAATGATATTCTCTGATTCTAAACCAGCAACTAAAATAAAGTAAGCAAAAGAAAATTTTCTTTAGATCATATATTTTTGTTCTCATCGGAGTTACAATGTATGTAATATAATCTAAAATCAATGTTATGAAAAAAGTTGGAGAATAATATAGACCTCTAATATGTCTAAGCTCGTTGTCCAAGAAAACATTAGTGATCAATTATTAGTCAGAAAAGTAACTTCTGTCTGTCTCAAATATACACAACTCTTTTACCAAAAATGTGTAGATACAGCGTACGGTTTCTTAAAAAATCTATAGTATTACTCGGAATTAAGTAGACAAAGACTAGAGAAGTATGTAGGGTTAAAACAAAATGATATATCGAAATAGTCCAACAAGGAAGGGCAGTTCCTAATATTTTGATGAAATGACTCAGTATCAAAAAGTTTGGACGAGCAATAAGGTTCAACATGAATACAGAAAATAAATGATACTACAAACTGGTTTTACATTTCTACTTCATAGAATTATTAGCGGTTAGTTATTTGGGAATAGTCACAGCTCAGTTGCCTAGCTACGTACGTCGCTTTAATGGAGGGTGCGTTAGAATTCCGATGGAAACAATTTACAAATAAGGATTATAAGCAACACCTGGACCGTTCCAGCTGCCAGAAACAAATGAATTTATACCCTGCTCACAGTGATTTTCACTTTGAAATACGAGGTAATCCCTAAAAATTATAGCGCTGTGTAATAAAATTTAAAAAGAATGATGTAAAAACATACCACTGTTGTTTAGTACAATGAGGGATAGTGCCAAAGTTGTAAGTAGAGTAAGAGATGTCATTTTGGACACTGTCAGTAAGATTTTTGGACTGTACGACAGTGATGAAAATGTTGGCTTTATAAGACAAAATTAAGTGTCGTTCTATCAACATAATTTAACATATTTATTTGCTTCATTTCATTCGACTTCTATGGATGCAATTTACATTTTGGTGAATAATATACTGAAAACTACCTCTACTACTGTTGAAACAACTTGTAGAATTATGAACAGAGTATTCTAGTCAGAAAAATATGGAGCTAAATTAGCATTTTTACCTAAATTTTTACTCAAGACACGCATAAAAGTAAAAAAACATTTATGATACCGTCTTAATTTACATTTGGTACATATCCCTTTTAACACTTCATTGCTTCCAGAAACAAAACAGAACATTTCTTTTCACGCAACACTAGTGTTTGTCTACACTGAGGAAACAACCTATCCAATTTCCAAAATAGACTCCAAAGAATTTTTTTTTTTCAAATTTTCTATGCAATAATTATTCAAATTAGACAATTTTTATTTTGTTGAAAAAAACATACATAATTTATATTAAAGTTTAACGAAGAACATGATCTTCATTAGTTTAATTAGTCTGAAAATAAATTTTATTCTCAAGATTTCAATATGAAATCGATCCACCAACATAATTGTAGTCTAAAAACTTCTTTAACTTCCTAAGCTGTTGAAAATTTCTTATTTTGAATAATTTCATTGTTATTAATAACAAGAATTTATATTTTTTATCTGTTACTTAGTACAATATGAATATTAATTGCAATTATACGTACAAAAATTAAAAGGAAGGATGCAAATATACCCACTTAAATTTGCATACATGATAAAATAGGCAAGTACAACAAAAATTATAGCTTAGAGTATTAATATGAATTTTATTTATTTTTTTGTACTACTGTAAAAGATATTATTTTTAATAAAATAAACTCAAGACTAATATCGTTTAGAAAGTACATTATTCATCTTACTCAATATTTTATTTTTATAAGCTAATTATGGAAAAACTTAAATACCATCCATAATAGCATGAGTTTTTTTGTAAAATATGTCGACCGTGGATGACAATATAAAGATAATTCAGATACTTGTGAGAAGACCGTTTAACTTTTTTTCTAAACTTGGTGAAGAACAACTTGTTTGCGAGAGGCTTACAACATACCATCGCTGATGAGTATAACAAGTGAAAATCGTAGGTAGGTGAGTACGCATCATTTTTGGCACGTCAAGCGAGATTTTGTGACTGTATGATAGCTATGGAAAAATTTCTTTTAAACGTAGTAGTTGTTTCACTGTCAAGAATGAGATGAATGAACCTCATGATAACGTTTATTTTTTTCTGGTTACATGAATGAAATTTAAAGTTAAGTGGTAAAATAAATAGAGACTATTGTTGATGCTGTTTAAACAACTTTACGTAACGTACAGAACAGCGGCTCAATTGAAAAAATATTGAGCGATAATACCACAGTTGCTTAGAACTTCTCTCACTTATTTTGAAAGATCGAAAAAACCTGTCAGTATTGAGCTTTGGCTTGGAATCGGGATATCCCGAACATTATATTTCAGAGTTTCTAGTTATTACCAAGCTTTTTATTACGTTACCTTTATGTCTGATTAGTGAAGAATATAATTTTGTCAGTGGGTTTATATAGATATTGCTTTTAAATTTCTGCCAATGATACGATAACTAAAATTATTTTATACAAAATCTTGTGTAAAAAACCAATTTCTAAAATTGCTTTACCTCTGATTTTATATTTGTAGTTTGCCCGAAATTTTACACTCAGGTTTATATAATATCGATTGTTATGTAGAGATTGATTGTGATAATTTATTAAAGCATTTACCCGTTTTCTCACCGTTGAAACTTCACAGTAGTATATATTTATAAACAATTAAAATTTGACTTCATCAATCTATGTACGATAATTGGCAAAGTTTGCTTCAGAAAAATTAAATACATCTGATATAATTCTTCTTTATTTTTCATACCATCTTGCATGATAATAGATATCTATATCTTCTTAAAATTGAAAGAAAATACACATTATGTCTAAAGGATCAAATATTATATTCAGATTTTTAAGAAATAGCCTTCAAAATGAAATAACTTAGAAATTAATTAATTTACTATTAATAATTACGTGAATAATTGTTTGAATATTTCTTTACCACCTTATAAAATTCTTGAATTTTAAAGAACCTTAAATAACATTTCCAAATTAACTGATTGAAATAAAGTTATGTTTTACCAGAATGCATATTCATGTTAAAGCAGTCAGTTAACTTATCTTGATAATCAATTTATGTTAAAAACAGAACTATTAATAATTAATTACATAAAAGTAGATAAAAAATGGCAATAGAATTAAACCAGGCAATGTAAGTTTAAGATATCTTACAATGTTCAAATTAAATAAAAACGATTTTATGTATAATAATAAACGTAAGGCAGAGAATCTGATAATAGGAATTTATAACATAAATTTTTTAAGTGAGTACATAAAATCATATATATTAGTTTGCCTATACAATCGTCTGCCTGTGGTGTCTGACAATTCTCATGTACAGTAAAAACTAATGATTTGTTTAACAATATTATTAAAAAACAGAAAAAAAACATCTAAGAAACTGTTATTGTTTTCCGCTGTGGTACATGAAATCGCATACAAATTACATAATTAAATGAATGAACCTTAAAACTATTATTTTAATATTCACTATCATCACAAAATTTAAATTACGTATAGAATATGTGACATTGTTTACTTTTGCTTTCTTTTGCAATCACCTACTAGTTTGGTATTTAAAAATGAATTATACTCATTTATTTCTTTATCCAACGAAGTTTTCAAGTTCTGGGTTTCTTGCGCACTCTTTTCATACTGATAGTATTCATTCCAATATTTTTTATATGCAGCTTCGAGTAGATCTTGATTTGGTATGCTTCCATCAGCTGGTTTTTCTAGAAGCTTATGCTTTTTCTGTGATTCCTGCCATAACTGATTAAGTTTTGAGTCAGTTTTATCAGATTTCTCCCATTGAAGTTTTAGTACTCGAATTTTTTCAAGCAACTTTATCTCAGTCTCTGGCTTACTAGTAACAGCCCACTTCTCAACTGGCATATCAAGTATGGTAAAAATGTTGTATCGAACTATTACATCACATGTTAGTTTATTATTTAAGACGCTATTGATAAAGTCCAAATGCGCTGAAACTTTAGTGAAATCACTGGGGAGTTTTTTATCGTTGCAATAACCTGTACTCACAATTCCAATAACTTTGTTCTGGAATACAAGAGGACTTCCACTGTCACCCTGTAAACAAACAGTCATAAAAATTAATTTACAAACCATAAAACAAGAGTGGTGTGCAATAACGCCTGAAAATTTAAAAATTCAATGTTTACGTCATGTGACCTCCAATTTTATGTAAAAAATGAAAAGTTTAGATTTATACTGCGAACTGCAGATACTTCTAATACTTAATTCCAAAAAAATAACGCCTATCATTAGTTTTTAAAAAAAATGCTTTTTATACTATTGGAAAGTAAAGTAAACTTTTTATTTCGTACTCCACAAATGCCACCACGATCCATACTTCCACAAAGTAAACTTGGGTATCTGTCTGTGCCACATTGCTTCGAATCCACAACTTTTACATCTGCTACTCTCAATATTCCTGTTGAATAATAGGTTAGTTCATTGTTAACAAAACTTATACTGTCACCGCCAAATCCTGATGTTTTTGCAAGTGCACCCAAGAAATTTTCGTTTTCATGTGGTAGTAAAGCCAAATTGATAGGTAAATCCTTGCCGACATCGAATCCTTTTACAAGCTTAAAAAAATTAAATATTTACAGTGTTAGAAAAAAATTCATACTAATTATATACCATACACAAATTTTATGTTAACTTTTAAGAGAGCGATGTCGTACAAAACTTGCATATCATTCTCATTTTCAAATTTGGAGTGAATATAAATTGTTTTCACGGGTCTGCTGTAAATCTGGTCGCTGCTGTTCAAAGTTCCCGCAACAACAAAGTATGGTTTATTGTAGTAAACATGTGTTTCTTTTTTAACAAAACAGTGAGCTGCACTCAAAACTATATCAGGTGCAATAAGAGTACCACCACAACCATGCTCCTTATTAGATTGTATGGATACCATATATTTTGCATCATTTTTGTTCCCATATCTACTATCGATAAGATTTTCTGTTTCCAAACTATCAGCTGAAATGAAATAAACAAAATAATAAGAACCCTAAACAGTTTTTTAAACATTTTTTTTAAATTACTTAGACTTATTTTCTGAACAAAATGCATCTCAAGCATGGCAGAAAAAAATATTTAAAAAAATGACTTCCAATAAAAATAAACAGTATTAAAAAAAAAAAAAAAAAAAGAATTTACAAAAAAAACAAACTAAAAAGCATTTTAAGTACCCGCATAACATTCACAAAAAATTCAAATTGTCCAAACTCTGATATTCAATGCTTAAAAGGTCATTGAAGTTCAGAAAAAGGAAGTGGTTGCTCAAGATCCGTAAAGTCTCAGTTTTTATTTGTAATTGTTAAAAAAAAGTATACATGTTGAGCTATCATTCAAGCAATGATTAATTACCCTAAGTATAATTGCATCAAGTGAAATACAATAAAAAACCTTCTTAAGCATTTGTTTCATAGATAAGTTTGAAAAATTTCATTGATTTAATATATATATGTGTAAAATACAAGAACCAATTTCTCAAGTATGTATACATACATACCTTAAAAACTTTTTCGAATGACGTTCATTTAAAAATTTCTAATAAACATTTTTAATAATTTGAATACTAAAGAATTTGAGCATACCATTGCTAATGAGTATAACAAGTGATGCTGCCAAAAAGGTAGGTAAATGAGGACGGATCATTTTTGACACTTCCAGTAAAATTTTCTAACTGCATAACAGCAATGGAAATTCTCTTTTTGTAAGCAAAATCTTGAATTTGTGTTATCGCAGAAAATAGGATGAATGTATGT